TCATGAAACGTCAGTTTACAGTGAAACCCAATTATTTGTCGTTAATACATTGCTAACTTGGCACATCTGGGACCTGATTTAGTGACATGGTATGATATGGACTACATTTTTGCTGACATGGCCCCTGATGTGCTAACCTAGGCTACTTATTTCCCCAAAGACTCACCCACTTGAAAGCTTAAAATTGGGGATCTAGGTTTTTGTCCTCTGTGAAATCCATTTTGGCCTTCAAAATGTTATTATCTTCTTTGCATTCACAATCTGTTTCTATAAGAGCAAAGGTGTTCTTGGGTCATCGGAATGTTGAGTATATGCATGAGGGTTGTCAACAACGCTACAAAGGTGGATTAAAATCTTAGAGATACACTTCATGGATAGAGATTATCCTAGGAAGAAGGTTTTATTGGTGTCCCAACTTCGGCAAAAAGGTGAGGGTATATTTTCTTCTTTTCTTTTCTTTTTTTTTTTTTCCTTTTACTATTTCTATTCAATCAAAGGTTGGTTATGCAACCCATTTAGAGGTTTGGAATAGGATTCGAATGGTGATTTGCTAAAGAACTTGAAATTTTATAGAATGGCACATTGAACCCATGTCCAGTAGAGCCATTGATGTCATCTTGGAGTTGAAGGGCAAAAGAGAAGCCTTGAAGACTAAGTTGGAGCAAAGGAAAGAGCCAAGAGGATGAGATAAATGGAGAGTGGATAGTAGTGAAGTTTCTATAAGGGAAAAATGAGGAATTGATGTTTCTAAAGGAAGATTATGGAATAAGGTGTTCAAGGGATAAGGAAAATGCTGAATTAAGATATGTGAGGGGTGAAGTGTAGGAATTGAAGGAAGGTTTGAGAGAATGGGAAAAGAAATTAGATGACTTTGTTAAGTTGGCGGTTAAAACAGAGCAAGGCTTTCAAATGTTTTTTCTTTTTTCTATTGTTGTTGTTGTACCTATAATTTTGATGATTACAAAACACATTTGAGTGACTAATTGATTTATTTAAGTGTATAGTTAAATTGCCAATATGCTACAAAGTAAGTAAAATGAGATTGCATTAAAAATGGCTCAAAGGGTAAAAATATGCAGAGAACCGGCTTAAGAAAATTGCAGCTGGCTTTGGGAAGCAAAAATGCAAACAGCCAGCTGCAGAATTTGTTGAGCCGGCTCTACAGGCCAGAAATTCAACCATTGTTGTGGCGCGCGCGAAAAATGGAAGCAGAGCCGGCTCCCACTTTGTAACCGGCTGTGAGGGTGCATTTAATGCACAACGGTCAAGTTATTTAGGTCGAGTTATTTAAAGATTATTTAATATGTTTAAAGTTGGAATCCTAAAGCCGGCTCTAGGCTTTGCAGCTGGCTGTGGAAGAAAACAGAATGTGCATGAATCCCGTAAAGTCGGCTGTAGAAATGGTGAGCTGGCTGTAGAAATGGTGAGCCGGCTGTATAGAGCCGACTCTAGGAAGTTGAGCTGGCTCTTTTGACAATCCTACAACTCAAGCTTTGCGTCCTGCAGAGCATTAAATGACCCCCAACAGCTAGTAACAGCTATTTTCGGCCATGGGGTTATAAATATGGTTGGTAAAAGATCTGAAGGAGATTAAGAGAGTATTGTATTGAATATCTGTATCTACCTACATGAGCTTTAACTTAAGTTTTTTATCTTTGAGAGATTTTTACATGTAATCCTCTTCTTGTTCTATTTGTGAGTGATCTTGAGGTTGTGATTATTCCTTCAAGAGCGATTTATTGAGAGGATTCGTGGGGTTTACATTGTAAAGGGGTGAGGTTTGAGAAAAATACTCATCTTTTTGTAAAAGGATTGAGTGGCTCTTTTAAGCCACCCTTGTTGTTATTAGTGAAGAGTGTGGAGGAACCTTGGTGAGTGAAGCCAAGGTAGAGGACTAGGCTCCAAGTGGTTGGACCGAACCTCTATAAATCATTGAGCAAGCTCTTCTTCTCTACTCTCTTTAATTTTGGTTTCGTGGTTGCCAAAAGGGAAGAATTTTTGGAACTCCAATTCACCCCCCCTCTTGGAGTACATTGAATCCACAGTTGTATGTCTACTATGTCTATGTTTGTGGGTTGTACACTTTTAGGTTTCTATCAGTAATGTTATCATATCCTATCTTTATCTTATCTGTACAATTCAAAAAAATGATCCTAAAAAGTTAATGTTGCCAAAATAGTGCTAGTTCCACAAACTGTCCAGGCTATACACATAACCAATTGTACATGCTTGCACATGACTACTAATAAGTTCACTTTACATTGAACATTACAATCAAAGTACACAAATAATGTAGATCATTACGTACAGCTAACAGGTAACTTAAAAGTTTACGATTGATTCAACAACCACCAAAAGCATGAACACAGATGCCATACACAACAGTTAATGGACCTAACAATCAATAAACAATAGAACAGAGGAAAAAAAAAAAACAATAGAATTAGTCTTCATCCTTCCTTCATCCTTCCTTTCTTCTCATGCCTTTTACTTCCCTTTATTTGATGGCTGGCCAGGGGCAACATATTTACTTCTTTTGGTTTGCCTTTTGCTTTGATTACTTGGATTGTTCTTTCTCTTCCTTCCACTAGCAGCAACTTAGAATCAAAAAGGCAAAAAATGAAGGTGAAGGATTATCTATTGCTTTAATATAAAATGTAAACAACTTATTCATATAAAAAATCAGTGAAATTACTTACAAAAGTTGGATTTGGTGAAAGTGCAACAAAGGTCTGAGTACCAACAAGGTATTGACTACCAATAGTTGCTTAACTACTCCCACCAATAGCCTCTCTATCCTTAAAAGGGCATCCCTTTTCGTTATGTCCTTTATTACCACATTACTTGTAATGCATTTTTCTTCCATGCCTTGATAAGACAGTGAGCTTGCCTTTCTTGACTTTCTGTGGTTCACGACATTTTGGCTTCCTTCTATTATTCTTAGGCTTGCCTAGCCTTCTTTTCATTACTGATGGCTGCAGCTTTTCCCCATTATAGTTATTCTACATTTCAACACCTAAATAGCATTCAAGAGGTATACCATATGCAGCTAAATATTTTCCCTCTTATAAAACTCACTGACAAAGTCTTCTAACTCTAAGCCCTTATAATCCACACAACAAACAACATGCTGGCAAGGAATTTCATTTATCTACCAATACCCACATGAACACTACTTCACATAGAAATCAGCAACATGCATGTATTAAAATTTCAAGTCACACACCTGGAAAGTATGTTCACCATCCCACTAAATGTAGCATTCAAAAGCATTTTGCCTCATTTCTTCAATTCTCTATAGAATTCTAGGAGTAATTTTACCATTCCAACTTCTCATGCTCAACTTTTTATCCTTAAGCCTTTCCATGAGCATATTCCTCATGTATACTAACATACTAATAATTGCCTTGCACCGTACCAGTAGAATCCAAGAATTAAATGTCTCAGACATGTTGTTGTGTGGGACATCACATAGAGCAAATTCTTCGAAGAAAGCCTTACACCAATGTTGTGGATCCATGTTCAACAATTGTTGGTAGCCTTGCTCAGTTTTTGCCCTCAACTAATTCCTTTAAAATTCACATTCCTTATCAAATGTGGTGCTAACACAATTCTAGAATGCTATCTTCTAGTCATCACCTTTATTTTCTTCTCCTTTAGCCTAATTACAATAAATGTGTCTTGCACAATGTCTATGAGATGCAAATGGGAATACCTTTTGTCTTGCATTAAAAAGGCCCTATGATAATCCAACAAAAAATATGGGTATAAATCATAAAATTTTGTCCTATGGAAAAAGAAAATGATTAATACATTATCAAAATCTTACCGTGCCCTAGTTTGAAACAGTGCAAAGATTGTGCCCTTCACCTAAGTCTAGATCCACCCTTAGATTCTCAAAGAACCATTTCCAAGAGCTGCCACTTTTTGACATAACCATAGCCTAAGCAATGGGACACATCTGCTTGTTTCCATCTCTTCCCATAACTGATTACAGTACCCCTTTACAAACACCCTTCAAAGAGCACCCCTCAACGCCAATTAATAGTCTACAACCATTCCTCCACACTTTCAAGCAACCATACATATGCTAAGACACCAAAGTACCACTAGTTCTTGGCCTATCAACAACAACTGTAACTTTATTTCTTGGATTGATAGACTCCAAATACCTTACATACCCCACAACATTACCATACTCTTCAATGAGATTGTCTTCTAGCTTCTTGATCACAATTTGATTTGCCCTCGTACACTTATCAAACTTAACATTGAGCTTTAATTCATTATAGGTATCCTCCATCATGGTCTTGCATTTGTAAAA